CCTGTAAACTTAATGGCTTTACTGGGGATATTCTCTCTTAATGGGCAGATATAAACGTAAATTAATCCTAACACCACTCTGTTACTTTTCAGCTGCTTTTATTAAAGTGTTGGTTGCTATGTTACTGCTGATGCTACGATGGCAACGTGTTTTTCGTTTTGTTTTCCGATGTTATTCGATTTCTTTACAACACCCTCCACCGCATTTCAAGGCATTCAAGGTCATACCGTTAGCCTAAATCTACTACGATAGTCAAATCGAACTGAATTATTGATAGAACGTATTAGGTATGATGGTAACCATTTACATGGAACACTGATAAAAACCTAATTTTTGTTATTTTACGAGTACTTATTTATTTACAAGTAATTAAATAATATAATAAACTGTAGCAGTTATGACTTCCAGCAGACTAGTATAACTCGTCCAAATTTGGCCTAGAGGTTTAGACTATTGCTTAGCATTCGGGACCATGCCGGTTCGATTCCGGGTCCATCTGCCTTGGTACAAGTTTTTCTGTGTTTTTCGTTCACTCGTGTAATAGGAGACGAAAAATTAGAATACGCTGATTTTCCGTATTTAGGAAGTCAAATAATTCACAATGGAAGGAGAAGTACAAATATAAAACAGGGATATCGCAGGGTCAAGTCGCCTTTAACAATAACTAATCGAATGGTTAACTGGACCGCAACCGAAAGGAAAAGGTTAGAAGCGTTCGGAACATGGTGTTACAGGCGAATGATCAGAACATGATGGATACTGGATAGAGAAAATTGGAAATGAGAAGGTATTAGGAAGAATAGGAGAACAGAGGGCGCTATGGTCAATAAAAAATAGGCGAGATAGTTTGGTAGGATACCTTCTCAGGCATGAAGGACTAGTTAGAAATATATTCGAAGCAGAGAAACTGGAGTTAAGATTAAGTAGAGACATATGTAGATTAGATTACTGTTCACAAACAGTTAAGGATGTGGATTATTGTAGTTTTAGGAAAATGCCAAGATTGACTCAGGATAGGAAAAGGTGGAGGTGCATGTTCAGTCAGTGTTGGTGCTGACGACCCTATGATGATCCTTATTGCCTTGTATGTAAAATGATATACTAGGAATAAGTACTACGGACCAAGGATAAGTATTATATATGTACCAACAGCTTACGTTAGGTCATGGTACGGTGATTAAAATGTACATGCTGTATACATCATGAACAATGGTACCAACAGTTCTAAATTTGGAAGCGTTTAATTTGTTGATACATATATATGATTCTGATGCTGAACTTCGATAAACATCTACGTATGTACATGCATGCATGCATGCATGCATATACAGATAAACAAAAGTTTACTCTTCTCATGTAGAATTTACAGTTCCCCATCGGCCTCACTATCAAAATATTCGACCGTACGAGCCGCTACGGCACATAAGTGTTAGAGCAGCTGTGGACTGTCACTTGTCGATCACGGGCTTCTCGATGATGATGATCATCTGAATGCCGCTCGTAATATTATTCATGAATAATGCATAATAATATAATACACGTACGATTCGATGGTAGTATCCTCTTCTTCTCGCTCATATGCCGTCACTGAATATGTTCAACACAAATACAGCCGGTGCTTGTGTGTTTAGATATGATACGTGAAGCGTCGCGAACCTCGCTCTCGTTTTATTAATCGAAACGCGAAGGTACACCTAATAAAATTCATAAAGAAACAGTGGCGGGACGAAAATTTATGTCCGTGCAATAAAGCACATTCCTGTGTGCGGCTACCTAATCGATCAAATAATTTTTCTTTTCGACTTATATAAATACAGTGTAAACTCTTTACAACGTCACTCGATTTAACGACAAACTCCTTAAAACGTCGAAATTGCTTGACTTTGGTTGGTTAACATTGTTTTCTATACAATATTACACTCTATATAGCGTCACGCTCACTCTATNAAAAAAAAATGGACGGTTAAAAATGAATAGTATGCATACCTAATAAGCTCAGCAAAGAATAATTTCTCATTAAAAAAATTAATATTTTAGATCCTCCCTGAATATGTCGATTCTAGGGGACGAAACAGAGTAACAATTCCAGAAATTAGACAAGTTTTATTACCCTGTTACTTACGGTACCATTAAAAGACTTTATTTCAATTACCTAAAATCAATATAGAAAATAAAAAATTCGAAAAAAAGTATTTTAATTGAAATGTTAACAACCATACAGTCAGGATCACCCTGTAGAGGAAAGAAAGTAAAAATATCGGTAAATGCTATTGTGGATACGTATACCTCCTTTCTTGCCCCGATCTGTCTCTTTTATTGCAATATTAGGATTTCGTTAAGTCCATAATTTATGATTATGATCCGTAGCTAATGGAAATTTCAAAATTCTTGTAACCGAAATAATAAATAAGCAAACTTGGACCCATTGTCGTTTAAGTTCCAGAGAGGGACCTACAGTAAATATACCCTACCCACTTTACACTTAAACGCCTAAATTATGAATTCTAAGAATGGTAAAATGAAGCTTTAAAAATTATTTACAGACAAATAGGAAATTTACCTCTTAATTTACTGCATTTATTTAAACTGTATCATGCTACTTTGCATGGTGTTATATTATTGTACCTACATAAATATCATTTCCGTTTAATAAGAACTGAAATCGGTAAAACTAAGTCAAGCTCTTCGCGTTTTGCATTTGCCTGCGAACAATTGATTGTTTCCGCATATGAAGGGTATTTGTCCAATTAATAACATTGAACAGAACGGCAACGTAAATACCTACATCCATTGAACAAAGACAGATTTATGCCTATACCTACATCATTTTATTGCTTCCGCAATTTTATGTTGCCCCCATGTAGTGTGACACTTGCTTAAGCACTATCTACTATTTTTTATATTACCTACGTAAGTAATTTAGAGAATTTCTTGCTAGATATTACTACACCAGTTCTACTTCATCCGATGGCTAAAAATAATAATAAAGGCACTATCAACAAAAAGTGTTGAAAGATTGTTTTTAATAAATATTTTTTCTGTGGAACAAAAAAACAGCTTTTTTGCGCTTTAAGGACTAATGAAAAGTTAGCTTTATATTTTGTATTTGAAAACAAGGGAACATATTTGAATGATATAGAAAATGCATTAAAAAATTATTTTTTGCATAAGTAAAATATGTACGTACCCAAGTTTTATTTTTGACAAAGTCTTTAAGGAAAGAAGATCTTGCTACAAATGTCCATCAACTAAAATTTATTACTTTAGTTTGGGTACTTTGGAAGGTTTATTATATCGGATTTCGAAAGTGTAAGAACATCTCAAAGTAACCAATGTCTTCGGTGGCATGCAGATGGCTTGTTTGATCATACCATAAACCGAACCTTCTGGGAATCTGCGCTCCACAGTACCATACCGACAGGAGCTTACGAATTAACTTTTATTACTTGAAATCCCGAAGGTTAGTACCGGAGACCAAGATGACAAAATTACTTTGCTTTTAAAAAGAAAAAACTTATACATTTTGTACCGAATTTAAATTAACTTAGACTTGCACAAAAATTTTGTATTAAAATGTAAATATTTCAATTAACTATTCGCAAATTGATTTCAGATATTTTTCATTCAACCGATATAATTAATTAACAGGATTACCATCAAATGCCCTATTCAAAAAAATTGTAACACATACACGTTCTTGCTTAAAAACATTTGTCATTATGATTTCTTAATAACGATCCCTGTCCACTCCTCCACGCATGTTGATAAGCCAGTTAAGTAGCACTTTACAAATTTTGAAAATTTATCAAAGTAAAAGCCTAAGTGGCCTGTGCGGATCAGATAGGGCAACCCAACTGGCGTATTACGGCTAAAAAAGGGAAAGATCAGGACCGAATCAAGGATGCAATAGGTACATCAAATACACCGATTCGGATCGGGCCACCTTACAGGACCCTGATAGAAATACCTTGTGTGGGCTTGACATATAAGGGCAGATTAAGATCCTGACTAGAAAAACCTACAAGAGGTAAATGGGGGTGCCTTATGGAATCCTAAGTAATGTACCCTAATTGAAACGAGTCCCGACCAGATTGATCTAATAGGCATATGGTGTAAAATAGGGTATCTCCCAGGATCTGTAATAGGATTTCGATTTGCTATTTATAATTTGACTTAAACTTATTTCGTTCGAAAAATACTTAACGACAGTTAGTTAAATCACTTTTTTACATTTTCTTTGGAATTTCTTGAAGCATTATTACGCCTTTAATAGCTAAAATCATCAATATAATAGGAATAACTTGATACAATGATTAAAAGCTTACGATATAGTTTCAGTTCTATTTTTTGTCATTTTAAACTACTTGACGGTTGTAAAAGGAATGAGATGATCGTTGCTCCGTGAAGATATTATTTTATTGGCGCCATGAGAACTGGACAACATGTTTTTTAAAGATGCAAACTCCTGTAACATTCCCATCTCATGCTGAACAGCTTTTAACCTCTTTCACTAACTAATAGGGGTCAAGTATGGATATCGCAATACGTAATATTCCCTTCTAATACCTGATCCGGTCCGGATGTCTGTTAGGGTGGTTATCCCTATTTCATTTCTACTGTACTTACTCAGCAATAGTGTCGCTTTCTATTGGTCAAACAATTTTTGGAACAATTCCAGAGATTACACTCTAAGTAAATATAAATAAACAAACAAAAAAGATTTGACCATTTACAAATACAGATTTATACACAGCTCTAAAGATTTTGAACTTATTAGTACTCATCAGCACGCCGTGGATAGTTCATTGACCAAATCCAAATAGCTCAACAAGATAATTCATGAATATTAAAAGTATGGTAACGAATTTTTTATAATGACTGCTGAGGAAAGAGAGACTGATACGAGATTAATTATTGATATATATCAAAGCCTTTGTTGTATTACAAAGGTGCAGGATAAAATGGAAATCTAACAAAATATTCTTATTATTATAGACCTGCAGTCAGCATGTGTGACAGTGGTTTCAGTGCTGCGGACGGCCTTTCCCGTATGGCCTCATTGGGAGGCGCCGGGCTTGGGGGAGCGCCGACGATGGGCAATCCGCAACTGTCCAAGAAACATCAAGATGATCATATCAAAAGACCCATGAACGCGTTCATGGTATGGTCAAGACTTCAAAGGCGAAAAATTGCCCAAGAGAACCCCAAAATGCACAATTCGGAAATATCAAAGCGATTGGGTAAGTCCGTTTAAATAAGTATTCGCAATTTTCATTCCTACCAGTTGTATTTTATATATAATGTCTCCGATGACATGAAAATTCGTACTTTTCATTTCGATAAGAAACCAATATTATTGAATTTTCCAACTATTCACATTATTTCAAAAAGCCTAATTTTATGAACGCAACAGCTTACTTGAGCATGGCAAAATTATTTTATGTATCTATATTCATTGTAAGCAAAAGTTTGTTTTCTTTGACGAACAAAATACTGAAGGAAAATATTAGGTACCGTTAATAGAAAATTTTCTTTTATTGCGGTAAAGGTCCCCAAGCTTTTTGATAACTCATTTTAGTAACACCTAATAGGTACAATAGTGGGCTGATGAGAAAAATTTCTTTTGGTAACATTTTCGATTTGCAACGAACTCGTACACTTTTTACGTACAGGTAGGCACGCTGAAAACAACGAAATTTCGACACGACCGATGCCAACACCAACGAAACTCACATCAAACACAGAAGCCGTTCATCGCATGATTGAACTGCGGGTTTATTTCTTCATTATGGAATTATAATTCAATTTTAATTACACAGCGAACGCCGATGATTTTGGTTTATTTACTGTTGTTGTAACCGCCAGCGGTTCGTTAGTTCTGAAGACCGTAATGGGTGGCTATGCATTATACATTCAAGACAGGAACGCCGCCTTTTAATTAATTTTCGAGTATTGTTAACGTGTAAGCTATTCAAAGTCGTATAATTTGCAGAAGGTGAGACGTTTCATGAAACTCGAAAAACGATTTCGATACGCATTAGTTGCCTCTTGCTATTGGGCTACTCACGAAACATACGCATTAACCAATAAATGAATAACAAATGTGTGTGAAAATCTTCTAAAGTAATTGATTATAATAACATCGGTTATAACGACAACTTTGACGTAACGTCAGTTTTTAACCTCGCAGTAAAAATCTCAGTAATAGCGTCAATAACTCGGATATAGCGTCATATTTATATTGCTGGTACATTTCCCATCGGCAGTTAGGTGAGCAAACTGAAAATCTGCTCATTACCAACCCCGAATTGCTTTTTATTGGAATTTATTTCCATTATCATATGGATCCCATATTAATTATTATATTATTATTATAATTCTACACCCTGCTTAAACTGTAAGTAGTCTGGACACCATAATTTTCTTGATTATCGATCGAGTCTGTAGTGTACAATATGAATGCAACTATAGGCATTTCGCACATTTCTCAACCCTAACCTTTTTAAAATACCTTTACTACTTTTGCCTGTTCCTTATTCGATAGTATAATACCTAAATTCCTTAATAATCAAAACGTTTATGTTCTTGGTCAGAAATTGATCGCGATTTCAATCTGATTTGATATCAATAGTGCTGCATAGGTTGTCTGGATAAATTACTGGCCAAACTAAAAAAGCTCCTAAAAAGCGAGTTGATGTGAAACCCAAGCACATGTAGTGAATAGCCATCTAGTGACCAAGTGAGTATTTGCTGTTACTGAAGTACGTACTTCAAGTTTTAGACAAAGCCTTCCTAGAGTATTCCTACCTATCTGACCAAGAACTTAATGTTGTTATTAATTGATTTACGTGTCTACCATGTATGTAAGCTGCATCGCCAATTTGGTCAAACAAATTGAAATACCATAGCTTGAAATCTTTCAGTACAAGATCAAATATCCATAGATGACAATATAACAATCCACGCAAGTTGCTTCGACGACTAAATCCTTGCGCAGGAACTACGAAAGTCAAACACCTAAAGCTTCTACGTAAACTAGTCGAAGCTCGCAATTCTTCAACTGCGTAAGTCATGAAGAGTATTTATCTTTCCAGTTTTCGCATTTGTTTTGATGTTTGACCTTTTATTCGAACAAGGATCAATTCGAATACATCTTGAGGATCTCCACTTTCCAACAATGTTTAAGCTGTCATTTTGATAGTGGTCGAATCTCGATTGGTTATCCACGAATAACCAATCTGTTCTATACCTCTGTAGATAATTTCCAGCATCAACAAATAATATTCCTCAACCATCATTATATACTTATATACACTGCTAAAATGATTAGTTCGATTTTGATATATATATAAGTTCCCATACACATACAGTATCGATAAAACCTTGACTTTAGATGGACATGGGTACTTGCTGCTAATTGGATAATTTATCTTAAAGTTAATGAAACGTATGATCATTAAGGATAGAAGCGTCAACATAAATGGTGGTTTTTTAAATTTTTTTTGTTCATGACTTCTCACAGCTCTTAGTTATTATTAATTAGTTTATTTATGTGATAATTTATATATGTAGTTTGCAAATGCATCGGACACTGTTTTTTATACCTTAATTATGCAACGCCTAACGCCTACGTATTAAAATCTAATGGATAATGCATTATCAGCATATTTTATACTCAGGAAAAAGAAAAAATCTGAACTATTACGTCATATTCAGGTCGTTCAAAGGAGAACTTTTTCATGCAAACCTTAAGGTATCATCATCATAGTGTCATCAGTTCTACAACTGGTTGGACAGACACTATATATTTTCCTATCCTGAGCTAATTTCCTTAAAACTAGAACATTCCACATCGTTTTTCTGCTCTAATATCTCTAACTAGCCCTTCATGCCTGAGAAGGTGTCATAACAACCTATCTCGCCTATTTTCTATTCACTTCAATTGCACCCTCTATTCTCTTACTCTTTCTAATTCCTCCTCATATCTAACTTTCTCTATCCACGGCATCTTCATTATTCACCTGTAATAGCGTATTTCTAAAGCTTCTAACCTTTTCTTTTCCGCCG